AGCCCTTTATTAAAGGATATATGTGTCTAGGTAGCACACCAAAAGAACAAAAGCAAACAACGATCCTGCACCCAAATTCCCACCCAAATCCAGCTCTTTTCGGCGCAATTCTAACCAGAGGGCGCTGCCAGGCTCTGGTAGCCGCCGTGAGGGGCCGAATGGAGACCCCCCTTGGTCGGTGGGTACGAGCTGTGCCCACACGGAAACCCGGGAGGGCAGGGGCGGCCTTTTCCCTCCAAAGCTCCTCCGCAGTCGGCACTGGCTTCTCCCATGAAATCCGAGGCAGACCGGGCAGTGGGCAGGGCAGGGAGTGAGGGAAACAGAAGCGAGCCGGGGCCAAGGCAAATCGGCAACTGGGCCGAAAACAGAGATGAAAACCTGGAACTTTTTTCTCTCCACACACGCCCTCCCTGAGTCCTGGGCAACAACAAAGTTGCAGTTTCCCCAGGAGAAAAGCTCACCGCCCTCCCTCGATACTTCTGAGCCAATTAGCTTGGAATGTGGGGCTATGGGCTACTCTTCTGTGTGTGGGAATCACTCCAGCCACCTCCTCCCCCTCCCGTGTTCAACGCCTTTCTTCTGGGTTTTGTTTTCAGGGGTTTTTCGATTTTTTTGTTGCTTTTTTTTTTCTTATTAAAACCAGGCAAACCTATGACAGGGGGACATTGCTGTTCCTTCTGAAATGCATTCTAGCATGAGCTGTGATCATTCTGGGGAGTTTGATTTTCCCTGCTTTGAATATTCATACCTTCTTGGCTTCCTCCATCCCACACCACTGAGGTGGTCCAAAAGAAACATTTCTTTTTATCATCTATGTATCTGCCCTCACTTCCGTGTCTTGATTCACCACTCCTCTGCTTTCATCACACCTTCAAATAAAAAAGCCCCCTATCTCCCTTCTCAAGAGCATCACTAGTTGTCACTTGGCACTTTCAGCCTCTCTCTCCTTCTTACTTAGAGCTGTCCCTTGGAGTCCACATGAAGCAGGGCAGAATCCACCCTGACCACCAGGGACAACCCAGAGTTCTTAGAAGACTTCACCTGGACTTGCTCATGGCTGCAGGCAAGATTTGAAGACAGCCTGAACTTTAAAGCACCCGTGTGAGTGTCCCTAGGATGAGTGGGAAGGCCCTAGAAAGGCTGGAGCACTCGCTCTCTCAACTCCAAATCATCCAATACAGACTTGACTCTGCTGAGAGCCCTTCAAAGGCTTTCCTGGCCAGTCAGCTATCTGCACCAGAGGGAGGATTAGTATTTTTGCAGTATCCTCCCTTGTTAGGGGTGCTTTTGGAACACTGAGGGAACTTCTGTTCCTTAAAAGAGCTTTTATCCCTTACCAGAATTATTTTATTCTTTTCCCTTAAGAGAAAACTGTTTGCAAACCAAACAACCAGGCCCAGTTTTTTTGCTTCTGTTTAATTTTTGAAATTGACT